TTTCCCCCATTGGGTAAAAACAGCTCACGTGAACAATAAAAGGAGGAAAATAAAGGAATGTGAATAAGATAACACCATCACAGTTTCTCGCCGCAATAAGTGGTGGTAAAAATCCTTGGTCAAACAGTGCATGTACGAGATTCTCGAGTGTTCTGTGTTCGTATACAAGCAAGTAACTATGATCATGCGTTATAGATGTATGCTGTCAAAAAAGAATCTGCTTTTCAGTATATACTTTAGTTCAAATGTTTCTAGCTGAGCTGTTTACTTTTGCCACCGGTTGTAAATTACACACAAATCCATGTATTGATCTGCTCTGATATATTTTGCTTTTACATTTATTCTTCTCTTCTATAACAAATAAACTATAATAAAGGTGATACTCATAATGATGCAGCCTCAGATTTAGGAGAATCGAAGGCAGCAAACAGCCTCACTGTCAGATGAGTGTAGAAGCAGCGTGTGGGCATAGCGGGGGTTGTGTAGAGGAGGTGGGGTCTGTCCCGTGTGTCAGCAGCCCGATGGATAGAACAGGGGCATAGCAGAGTGAGTATGAAAGGACACGCCGTGCAATGCAGACAGAGACTGCAGACATGCAGCAGCACAGAGCGGCATATATGTTTAAAGAGGCTGCAGCAAAGAGGGCTATAGATGAGGTAAGGAAGCTAAAAAAGGAATGGCTGCCACACAGAGTTGCGTGGTCTAATGTCTCTTTTTTTAATGCTCTTGTTTAAGTGGGTTTTTGCATTTTAATGTTTGTACTGTGTGCACGTCACAAGACTTTATAGTCTAGCAGAGGGTTTCAGCACACCGCGTTCATATTCATCACACTGCCGTTATTTTCACCAACAATTTTTGATTTTCGCTGTGACCCACATGCAGCAGTTTAACTTTATCTGTGTTAGAGATGTCCAAATGACAAGACATATTTGAAGGCAGTTGGCATTACTTGTTTTTCCTACGTGTGATTGTTTTCTCCAGGTGTGTTAAGAATGACATCTTTGGAAACCTGATATTAGGGATTACTCAAACATGTGACTGCACATCAACTCCAAGTGACTCTGAGGTCAAGTTTGCCGACCCTCAACATGGTCTCTCTGTGGAATATTTATTTTCTCTTGCCTCTCTCTTTGCCTCACTCGCTTCGTGCCATAGCGTTAACTGGAGAAAATGTGAAAGAAACACAACAGCCAGACAGTGACAAGGCAGGGCAGTTTCTGAAACAGCTCTCGAGTAGACCTTATGTACCCGGCGGTTCAGCACCAAGTGACCCCATGATTGCACCCGAGGATGATGACTTCCTGGGTTCCCCTTTAAGTTGGTCCTTATCATCATCTGAGGACACAGACAGACAAGGTGTGATTGGTGAATATGGCGATTTACTGGAGAGCGCTGAGACATCTCTTTTCTTTCCTAATGAGAAGGGACCCATACCCAGACCCACAAAGGGTGCTACAGTAGATACTGCCTCCACAGAGAGAATGCAAACAATGAAGTCCTCATCAGCAAGTGTACCACCCAAGCTTACCCATGAACAAACATTAAAGAATCAGCCAACTGAGACCAACACCGCATCAGTTTTGTATCCTAGAGAGTCTGGAGAGAATCAGCCAACATTCCCAGGCTTTCAAAATCAGATGACTGATACTCACTTACCCTTTCTTCTCCCTGGCTCACTCCCATCACACACATCAGACCAGAACTCAACTTCATCACTGCCCACTGGACCGGGGCCAGACACTCTTGGATGGACCACAGGCATTTCTGTTACCACAAAGGGAAACAGAGATGGATTCATTGATATTACAGATCTTATTTTACAGAGAGAAACTGCCAGCATGGAGGCAAAAGAAGGTAAGAGTCCTTTAATTATTTACAGCATCCCTACTTTAAATCTAAAGCTGAAACTATGCCCTACAGTGCATTTCAGTTTCCTTGCATAACCTCCAAAAACTCAGAATCCACATGTCACTGCAGTGCTTATGATATGTATTCTGCTGGCAAACACAGTTCTTTTACATTCACAGAATGGGTTGCATCCCTTTCTTCAAATGTCTCTCTTTGACTCAGTTCTCTACCCTTGTCTTTCTCATTCAAGCCTTTTAGCACAGATTCTCCAGTTCAAACTTACACTCTCCTGTTAAAGTAAAACATTTTATTCACATTGCAGTCAGCCCGCACTCAAAGGTTACTGGATAATGCAGCATGCACACTATTTACTGTACACACACACAAATACTAGCATTTACTTGTCAAAGTAAATGATGTGTCCACAAGCATATGAGGAGGACTTGAAAGAAATTAATAAGGAATTTGCTTCCTCCTGTGTATGCATTTAACACCACACATTTTCAGTGTAACAACAAGTTTATTGAATAACTGCATCAAGATAGAGTACATATTAAATGTACTCTCATTTTTATTAGATTTCATAGACAGCAGAGCGAAAGCCCCGCACTTATAAGTGCTCGCTGTTCGCTGCATCTATACTGATTGCTTCACTACTAATGGAGGACCAGAAATAGGACACATTCCATTTATAACCAGTAGGTTCCCTGATTCCCTGATTGCCCTATACAGCTTTTTTCATATACAGAATAAGAAACTCACATTTTTTGTTTGTTACAATGTTATCATCAGTCATAAACCTCTTTCGCATTCTTACAGATAACAACATCGCTTCACTAATGCGAATTTACTTATAGCCACACAAAATGAGAGCAGGCATGAGGTCAATACTGGCTAATCAGCACACATACAGTATCTCTCTTCCTCACTTTCACACAAACACATATGCACACAACCTACTGCTCATGCTCCCACTCTGTCTGTGACCCAGTTAGATTCCCAGTTACAAGCCCGTTCTGTTTTATTATGGATTAGCTTCACACACAGCAGATTACACCCTGCTCTCTTTTTAGAAAATGAAGATTGTGCATAAAAATAAATTTGGCCTGTATCCAGAGGTTAGATTAGCACCAGTATGTTCATTTCTCGAGAAAAAAATTTCATTATTAAAGATAATATGACACATTACCACCACATAAAAAAATAATAAAAATACACAGGTGTATTAGGCGTGAAGCAAAGCCATGCTTTGAGCTTAATGCTAACACTAGCATTCTAACATGCTCATGATGACATGAATAAAGTGCCGATGACATTGACAGTATAAAACATAGATGTAGCTTACAGAGCTTTAAACCTGCATTCTAATTAATGGCCACCAGAGGGCGGCCCTATAGAAGTCTATGGGAAAAACGACTCCTGACTTGACCTACCCTGCTGAGTTCACAGGCTCAGTCACTCATTTAGAGACATATTAAATTTTTAAAAACTAAGACATGTTTAATACTATGTTTTAAAAAACCATAGCGATGTCCATCTTTTACACTGTCTATGTATTACTATACCATCATATTTATGCAAGTTAGCATGTTTGCTCGTTTGCCAACGAAAAACTTTAAATTAAGTCTGTACTTAAATTTTCTACTTTTTGGTTTTCTTTTGACATAACCAATATGGTGTTCATGTGTTTTTTATATTCTTTACAGATGACTCCAAGAATGATTCAAAAGCCAGAAGCCCAAGCCGGCTAGATGGTAACATGGACACAATTGCCACAACCTGCAAAACATTAAATCATTCCTGGACACCTACCTACCCAGAGGATTTTACTCACAACAAGCCTCTGCACCCCTTTCTGGCTCTCACCCCTTCATTTTTGGTCCCTTTGTATTCAGACTGGAACTCTGCCCTGGCTACGTGGGGATTTGCATGGGAAGCACATATCTATGGCCTGGGCTCTGTCTTCACTGTATTTGGCCTAATCTCTGTAGTCTGCCTGTTAGGGCTGCCCCTGAGGTGTCCCCCAGGAAGCCCCTACTTCACAATGCTGCACTTGTTCATTTTGGCATTTGCAGGGATCCAAGCTTTCTGTTTGCTTTACGATGCTTACAGTTACCAAGATCGCCTTTCCCCTGTTGTCTCTCTGCTGCTCTCCGAACTGCCATTGCCATGTTTGATCTCAGCATTTTCCCTGGCCTTCCTCCTTCTTTCCTTTCGTTCATGCAAGCATCTTTCACTTTCACCTGTTATTTCTGCCTCCTTCTCAGCCTTGCCAAAGCCTTGCTTGTTGCTATGTTTGGCCCTGTCACATTTTATTATCTCTTTGGGATGTTTTGGGATTTTTCAGCTCTTTCACAGCCTCCCGACTGTCATCCTGCTCTTTCCTCAGGGTGTGTTCGTATGTCTCACCACCTTTCTCTCATGCTCATACCTCATCTTCTACTGCTTGACACAAGTCAACAGTAGAAACATTTACAGGTTAAATGACAATGGAGAGAGTGGAGGATCTCCTGAGGTGATGCGACCTGCAATTTGCCCCTTTGCTAGTGTGAAGGACTGGGGAAGGGCAGCAGGAGCTGGAGTAGGAACGTCTTTGTGTTTGTTAGGGTGTGGAGGTCTTCAGCTTTATGGGATCCTGCATGCCCTTGGTTTGGGTGGGGTTGATGGCCATGGGTTTCAGCCTTGGCCATGGTGGGGCTACCAAGTAGGCTGCAGACTCTGTGAGATTGGGGTCTGCCTAGGTTTGTCTGTCATTGGCACACATCCTCTATTCTGTAGCAACTCTAACAAGACCATAGCACATCCTAGACCAGGATCTTGGTCCCGTCTATCCGGTGGCTCTCCTTCACGAATGCTCACCATAACCTCTCAGGATGGTGCAAATTCCCCCGTCCTTTCCCAGGGTAAGCAAGAAAAGCTGGTGGCCTGTGATGTTGTAGCCAAGGAGCAGTCAGAGGTTCTTCCTCTTTACTCAATTGTGGAGTCTCCTGGAAATATACCAGACTGTGATCACAAACCCAGCCAAAGCAAAACTGTACTACCTCTCCCCATACCCCCAAACCCACCGCATAAACCTACAGCCTCACCTGAGACTCGCCTGTCATCACTGGATCATTTAAGTCTCGAGACTGACTCAACTGTGGATCTGCGGCCTCCATCTCCCATAGACTTGTCGCGCAGCATCGACCAAGCTCTGTTCAGCGAATCCCTGTTTTCTCATAGTATCTTTGGTTTCCCAAGACTCATACCTGCTTCCTCAAGCCTTTCCTTGAGCTCCCCAAGCCAAGGTACATCAAAGCAAGGGCCCAGCTCTGTGGGAAATACCCTTTACCGAACTTCTTCTTGTGGAGATGTAGATCAAGAGAACACCTTGTCCAACTCCAGGTATTCCCAACCTCAAGGCTGTATGACAGCTCGTAGAAATCAACCATTATCACCAGACCAATGTGATTGGAAAGGGAGTGTTACTGGTTCAACCCAGGGCCTTTGCAGCCATTCCAAAGAAACAGGAAAGCTGCGATCACATTCATGGGCCAACAGAGGGCAAAATTTTACTCAGAGCAGCCTCCCACGTGCAATCCCCCACCTGCCATACCACAGACGTTACCGAACCCTGAGCTTAGCTTCCCAGGACAGTCGGGGGTCTGGCCGATTGGCAGGAACTAAACACCTGAGTGAAAGCAAACAGCTGGAATGGGATATGGCTGTACAAGCAGAGTTTGTCAGTGTGTGCAAACAAATTGATGCACTGAGTGTTTGCAGTGACACCATTGAATTGTAGAAAGCTAAAAAACAAAATAAAACTGGGTGTAACTGGAATACAAATTGTGTAGATTTAAGTCTATTTAGGTTAAATGGGGGAATTAAACCATAGTCTATATGTCAAAAACGTTATATAGACCTAAAATATGAGCCAATATTTTTTGTAAATACTGTACTGTTGATATTGTATATTCAAACAAAAAAAGTTTATAAGACTGTCTTCATTATGCTGTTTTCAGCAACCTATTTCTTCCTTGCAGTATTGCTTTATTTGAGCAACATTATAATTTTAGAATGTGTCCATTGAAATCATATGTAAAATCAAACATTTGTTTCTAAAAAAGGGTAATATTTGTGGCAAAGAAGTTAGCCAAAGCAGAGTTCAATTTTTTTTTTTGCTTTATTTTGTTTTAGTGAAAATCCAGGATTGTGTCGAGGAAATCTAGCAGCCATAGGACAAGCAAAAGTCACAAAAGTTAAAGTTTGCGTTGCTGATACGTTCTGTGGTTTGTGAGACATACTTGAAAGGGCTTAACTTTCTCCGCTTCCCTTTCCTGATAGTGTGCTAAAAGAATTACAGTCTAAATATATAAACCTTTTGAGGTTTCTTTGAATTTTGAGTGTAAAAGCATTCATAGGGACAAGCTGGTGTTTTTTGTTGATTGTTGATTTTTTTAAAAACTGAGTGATACATGTAATACGTCTCTAACCAAATATACTGAGTACCTCACAGAAAAAAGGAAAAATGAAATTAATTTAAAAGTGATATTTGTAAAGATCATTAGAAATAAATAAATCAAAACTGGAATATTGGTTTTGTTCTACTGCAACACTAGAGAATCCATTACTGTATCTACACTGTATCTACCTTTTTTTTGCTTTCTTATTATTTTTTTAATACTGAGCCTGGGAAATAAAGACAAATAACCAACCATTCTATATCCTGTGTTATTAATGATAACCTTTTGCAAAATAGCATTTTTGGAGAATACAGCATGTACTATAAAGCTAAGTGGAGCTTTGGTTGCATAGTGACAATAAAAATGAGAATGATGAAAGAAAACAGTGAATACTCTCCTTTAAATCAAGCAATAACATTAAAATAAGAGTAAAGTTCCAGGTGAGAGTGTAAATTGCTTTTTGAAGGCACTCCCTATTTGGAGTGCTCGTTTATAAATTAAGGCTGATGCTTTTCTTGTCCCTTCTATGACAGAGCAGCACAGAGCTCACCGACACGCATCAAAGAAATGACTTGAGTGACAAAGCTGCGCACTAAAAACATTATGAGAATTTTACTCTTCTGTGGTTATTAGCACACTTCACTTGTTATTGTTATATATATGAGAGAAAGAGAACTAAAAGTATGTGATTAAAGCTCTGTTATTTACTTGATTTCCCACAAAAAAAGGGGGGGAGGGGAAGTAAAAGTAGTAAATGAGCAAGGAAATATATGGCTGTACTCTTCTCTATCAAGCTCGGCAGATATATCATGACAAGTTTGTTGAAAGGGAACAACAGAATAGGTAATAACAGGATTCCCTCTACACCTTGACCTGAGAGGGAGAACAACAGATTAAGAGTTTGTGACCATCCTCTAAAACTCTGTTCTTTGGCTCTATCCTTTTAGGCTCTTCGAACTTTAAGAGAGTTGTTTTGGGGTCAGAGCTGGGACACCAATGAACAGAAGGTCACAGAATAGTTTTGTTTAAACTTTAGAGTGTAGAAGTCACAGGAGCTTCATGCGTTGCATTCTGATCACATGCGCCCGGTGCATCTGCTCATAGCTGCTGGGGTCGGGACGTTGGGTCCCGATCGGGTGTTTCCTCTTCCACCTGTTTCAGTAAAACCGCTTCTCATGACTACATGTGGAATAGAAAAAAAAGAGGGAAAGCATAAACTTTACAGTTAGAAAAATGAATGAAGATGATTTTTTTTAAGAAAGGAGAAGATGGAGGTAATGATTACTTACATGGCACAAAAGAATATCTAATATGATAGCATGAGTAATAAAGAGAAAAAGATAAGAGATTTTTATACTGTTGAAGGTAAATTAATGGACACTTAACAATGAAGCATATCTAACAACAGCATGTTCACATACTGTCACTGGTATCAAAATGTTTAGACAACAGAAACAGGAAAAGAAAAAGACATACATGGAGAAAGAAGGGGTTGCAGTGGAGGGGTAAAGGTCACCTTAAGCAAACAGTCAAACGTCAGACTTACGAGTGAAGCCCGTGGACGCCACCTTCCATCTGAGCCGACATGGTCCTCTTCTCAAACTTCAGTTCTCCAGAATACATCATTGACCTGGAGACAGATCACAGGAGGATACTTGGCGAAAGCCTTCACGTAACAAATCTCACACTAAACAGACGCACAGTTTGACACTTACCGTAAAATGGACAAACTTTTGGCTCCTATGTCCTGACAGCCATGTTGGATGCCAGCAATGAGGTAAGGAACAAACTTATGAATGGAGCCTTTGTCTTGTACTGACCCCGAAACACCTTGAGCTACCTTTACCTTATCTCCCTCACTGGGCACACAAACATAATTCACATGATTAACAAGGTAAGTTTTCCAGATTAAGTGTTTTCCAGTAAAAATCTCACCTAAAGTAACGTTTCTGGCTGTTATTTTTCTCCATGGCATCTAAGGAGCCCATTCCTCTGTACTTTTTCAGGCGCACACCGTCGGAAAAGAAATATTCTCCTGGAGCTTCAGTAGTTGCCGCCAGCAATGATCCCATCATTACTGAGGAAGAAAAAAGACTGAATTGTTCACTGGCAATCCAAGTGTACACACAAATTTAATGCCCCCAGAAAATGAGAGAAAAGTTCTTTCTTTTACCCGTAGATGCTCCCAGGGCAAGAGCTTTTACCACATGTCCAACAGTTTGAATGCCCCCATCAGCGATTACCGGCACTCCAAAACGTCTGGCATACTCCGCGACCTTGTACACTGATGTGCCCTGGGGCCGTCCACAGGCCATTACTGAGAAACAAGACCACAATGTGATGGTTGGGAGCAAAGTATCCTCAATACAGTGAAATTCATACATTTTTATGTCCCATGATTAAGTATGATCGTACCTTCCTGTGTGATACAGATAGAGCCGCACCCCATTCCCACTCTCAGGGCATCCACACCGGCATCTATGAGGTTTTTGGCCTGAGCAGCTGTCACCACTAGAGAGAGAGAGAGGCACAGAAAAGTGACAAAGAAAGGCACAAATGTAGAAGATGAATTCAAGAAGACAGTCCCGAGTAAAGAAATGGTGCTCACCATTTCCTCCAACCACTTGTAGTTCGGGATATTTATGCTTGATGTAGTTTATCGTGTTAATCTGATAGACTGAGTTTCCTTGAGAAGAGTCCTGTAATAATAATAATAATAATAATAAAACAAAATTTTGGGAAAAAGGACTTAAGATCGGTCAAACACTCATACCCACTCTGTAGTTCCATTCATCCGGTGATTAATATGAGACCAATGACTTAGCTGACTATATGTGATCCAATAAAAAATTAGAATCAAATAACAGATCAAACAAAAGTTTAATTACAATACAATCAAAACTTACCAGGACAACAACATCGACTCCAGCCTGCACGAGGAGGTCCAGTCTGTATTTGTCGTCCTCCCTGGTACCGATGGCGGCTCCACACAGCAGCTGTTTACGAGAGTCCTTGGAAGCCAGAGGATAATCCCTGTTCTTCTTCAAGTCAGTCCTAGCGATAATGGCGACGAGCTCATCGTTGTCATTAACTATGGGGAGCTTACCTGGGAGAATGAGAAAGGAAAGACCAAATATGCTACAGTCACAATTATGATTGCTACCTATACGGCAGAGTTACTCTTTAAAGTTTTACCTTTTTTGCTACGTTGCAGTATATCGTTAGCTTCTTTTAGTGTGACTCCAGCTGGTGCAACAACTAGATCTTCTCTTTTTGTCATTGCCTGCATCAGAAAATAAACTGTGACCACACACACACTCGTTTGATATTATAATTCTTACTTTGAGTACTCCGGGAGAGTAGAAAAGTGTTATATAAGAATCAGTCCATTTACCATTTACCAGATTATGTTCTCAAAAATATACAAATTCTTGCAGAATCGTCCACAACATTAATACACTCACTTCTTCAAGCGGTTGGTCATGGTCCTTCTCAGAGAGAAAATCGATATCCCTGGAGGTAACTATGCCGACCAGCTTGCTGCCCATCTTGCCAGTCTCTGTAATCGGGATCCCGGAGAAACCATGGCGTAACTTGGCCTCGAACACATCGCCTACTGTGTGACGGGGACTCATTACCACTGGATCTGTAATAAAGCCCTGCTCAAATTTCTAGCAAAAACAGAAACACGAATGTCGAGTGGGATTTAATTTCCATATCAGATGGCTGTTAGGGGCTTCATAGATCAAAAATGATTTCATCTGTTTAATTAGAGCACATGTGTGCAGTGACTTTTTTTGTCTCACCTTCACTTTGCGCACCTCATTGGCCTGGAACTCAGCAGTGGAGTTATGATGAATTATTCCAATCCCTCCCATCAGCTGAATCCAACCAATTAGAGACAGGAGTAAGTAAGTGAAGAAAAGCATCATTTGAGCAGTACCTACTCGGCTACTGAGTATGATGTATTTAACACTCTGCAGTGTTTGTACTCACTGCCATGGCGATGGCCATGGATGACTCCGTGACTGTATCCATAGGAGATGAAATGAGAGGCGTCTTCAGGGTAATCTTTCGTGTCAGGGCTGAAGTTAGATCCTTAAAAGTTCAATGCATTTGGAAACAAATTTATCACCTTATACTGCAACACTGAGGTCTACAATAAGCGTTTTAGCAAATTAAATAAGTATTTCTTAACTGGCTCATTTGGCCTGCAGTGAGCCAGTTTGAATGCATCAGAAGTGGAGTTGCTGAACTAACCGGCTGAGTGTTTAAAGGACCCAGGTGGCTTCCTCGAACACCTGCTCTCCAGCAATAACCCATGTGATCTAGTCATGAAATTAATTTAATGTTCCAGCAGAGTTCAAAAAGATGAACACAGTGCAAGTCAAATAAACAACCCCGTGCTCATGCACCTTTAACTAAGCAACACAACAAAGAGTTAGGGACTGATTACAGCAGCACCTTAATAACAGCAATATAAAATATAATGAGTTAAAGGACACTGTGTTTGAAGCACACTTAGCTCACTTTGCTCGTGGCAGTTTTCAAAGGAAACTATTCCTGTGTTGCCATTCACCAAAGCAGCAACCTCACAGGGATTATAGCAACTAGTGTTGTGACATAACCCATGTTGAAGAACCCTAATCCCAACTACATCACATCACATGAGCAGTACACTGAGAAAGTTTGAGCAGTAGGCTATGTTTAATATATTAGACAGTATGATGACACTTACCACCTCATCAGAAGTGAAATCTATGAAACCGGGGAGGATCAAGAAGTCACTGAAAGGGGAGAGGTGACAGAGAGATAAGATCATGACGACTATGAAGTACTGCACAAACTAAATTAGAAATCACTTTTCAGTGGGGTCACATCAGTCATTGCATTGGTCAGCGCGTCGATTTGATCTCAGCTCTCACTGATCACTACATCATCACATGAGTTGTTAGCACTCATGGGTTGGATGCCACCTATCTTCAAACTCGGCGCTCATTTTGATCTCAGCTACTCACCTGTAAAGTTTTGTGTGTGCATCTTCCACTGTTGCGATGCTACCGTGCTGACAAACTCAACACCACCTTTTTAGTGCTTCCTGCTATTGCAGGTGTCGCCAGGACCACTTTTTGCCATGAGGAAACACACAAAGACTTAACTGAAAAAACAAAACCAGCCTCACTGTGGCGACTGGTAACCAGCATTTAATATTAATAGTGACATTGACTGACCAGCAAAACACTTGTAAAGCTACCTCTTATAGTTGTTTATGTGAACTATATGTTTTGCAGTCACTCCTACACGGCAACATTTTATTTTATTTTATTAGCTGACAGTAAGCAGAAATAATCTGTCAGCAGCACACTGAAACGTTCTGCATTTATCCTCTGCACACTGATAAACCCTACACATAGCCCCATTAAGGAAACTACCCTGACAGCCATTAAAGCACTGATATGTGCAGGACACACACACACACACACACACACACTCTGACAGACACTGCTTTTAATGTCTGTAGCACCACTCAAGACTCATCCTTGAAAGTAGTATTATGCGTAATAATCCCCCAAATAAAACCTGAGCAGATGTGTCATTGCTGATATTAATAAAGATTTAATGGAAGATATGACATAACAGTGTATATGTGTGTTTCTTTAGGTGCATGTGGATCTGTGTCAGCATGTAAGCAATGCCATGAATGTGTTTGTGTGTGTGAGGGTTGTTTTGGGGTTGTTGTTTTTTTCATTTTAAATTTAGCATTTCTTACTTGTACGTAAGTCCGTCACCGATAGCAAAAAGTTGTTGTGCTGTGAGTCCATCCTCAGGAACGTAACCCGTACCCCCGCTGATCAAGTAGTCAGCCATGCTGAAATTTAAAAAACACACACACTCATCGTGGAGCTGAGAATATGAGTTAGCCACCACCACATCTAAATACTGAGCGAAATACTGGTGTATCCCAATGAAAAGACAACAGCATTAAAGACATATATATATATAGCTTTAAATTTACAATAATTTGTTCTTGTTGCAGATTTTATACACTTAAGTGAATATTTTATTATTCTGTCCATCACTTTAGCTGATTGAAAAAGGTGCACCTAAATTAGGAGAAAGTGTATTTTTACTAAAAATAAAGGTATGGTTGGTTAGTCAGCAGTTAAATTCTGAATCCATTTCAAAAAGCATGTGGCTCATCTGTCTCTGTTTCTTACAAACATACTGTAACTAGATCCTATTACAAATGTTGGAGAGAAGACAGGAAACGCAAACAAAAGAGAATCCGTCCTTGTCAATGGAAACTCCTTCTATACACCTATGACGGCAGTACAGTAGGTAAGAGGATTTGGTAGGCTGCCCAGGTAGCTGATAAATGAGCTTGTAATGAGCACAGCCAATGCAACTAGAAAGTGAAAACAGCTCAGTTGCTACTGGAAGTGTAATGTTTACAAGTTATACGGCTTCATATATCACATCTGCAGACCATAGAAGCTTGTGATGTTGCAGCGTGCGAAGATTGCTAAGAGAGTGTGACACTGACCTCTCTGGTTCATACCCAGCTTGAATACGCGTAGCGCTGTATCGCTGGGCTGCTGTCTCATATCCATGTCCATGTAGCACAGGGTGGGCATATCCCCCATACGGGTGAGGTTGCTCCCCATCTCTGTTTGAGGGCCGTGGCCGTGCTGGTTCCATGTCTCCAACAATCCTTCGGTAGTCAATGAGGTAGCTGTCCCTTTCTCCATCTCCAAAGCGGTCAGAAGCATGACCTTCCATCTCTATGAAATCCAGGGCTCTGACCTCCACGGTGCCCGACCACCTATCACGCACTCTTTAAGCACTTGTGACTTGTTTCATACACACAAATACAATCACACCTTCACGCTGCAAGTAAACAGTGGCCTCAGCAAACCCCGGGAGACACACTCTAACGCAGTCAATGCTTTGAGTGCATGTTCACACAAACACCTTTCAGACACACCTGATATGGGAGTAAGCTACCGTGCCGCTCGAGACTTGCAGATGACAAACCTGTAGGAAATAGAAGAAACAGCAACAAAAGATCCTAAACAAATTGTCCAAGGCTGAGTTTGCATTCCAGTTAGTTATCACTTATCCATGGAGGCCATTAAGGCCCTCAGACAGTGGATAGTCTTTTTTTGCCCACCTGTTGATGAAGGTCGCTATCGTGGCACAGCAAATTTAGATCTCCTGTATTCTCCCCAGCAAAAGAAACAAGCAGCCCCCGGGGAGGAGAGTCAAGCCTTGCGTAGGCAGCAGAGATTCATCCCCCTGGAGGTCCAAACTTGCTTGGTTATCCCTACGGCTGGGAGCTTCTCTCTACTCTATTCTCCTGATGCCTGCTGAGCTTAACTCTGTTTCTGACAGCAGACGTCACTCTCCCACAAAGAGGATTGGGAGCATTAATGCAGAATGGGGTGGGGTGAGATGGGTGTTGGGTGGAGTGTAGGTAGTAGTACCGAGGAAGAGAAGGATGGGTCAAGATGACACTTGAAAACACTTTCCTCACAGGAGATTACCATGTTGTGACGGTCTGTGTTTGTGTGTGTGTGTGTGTGTAGACAGAGCTGTGAATGAGATAAGGTCGAACCCCAGGATACGTACAAACTTCCTGTCTTTGAGAAATGAGACAGAGAATAACTTTTAAAGACGTAATGCTGTCTAATTAGTTTGTCACACTTAAATTTAGGAGTGGCTTGTATACCGTGGCACTATTATTTATCATGGCAGTACAACAACAGAGTTCTATAAATACTTTCTTATATTATGAGGTTTTAATTAATAAAATTTACCAGATCAACGTCTTTGAAATGTCTGTTCTGGCTGCTGTGGGAGCTTTTTAATCTTAAATCGTTAAACTGTTTGGACTGTTCATTGAGAAACAGTAGGAACTTTGCTACCTACAGTGCTTTCAGTAACATCATCTACAGGTGACTGACTGACTGCTTGTGACAGTTACAGAGGGATTGAACTAGAAAAGCCTCTTAGAATCTCTCTCTCTCTCTCTCTCTATCTATCTATCTATCTATCTATCTATCTATCTATCTATCTATCTATCTACTGCAAGTCTCTCATTATCTCGCAGTTGCTCCCATTCTCCCACCAGATAAAAGAAAAAACAAACCCTCCAATTGATAATGAATGCAACAGAAATGTTGAAAAGCTAAGAAGCAAAACTTATTTTGCACAGAGATTTTTATTAAGCCTCATATTCATGACTTGTTCTTAAATTAGTATGGTTTAACAAAATGTCAATAAATAATATATGGACCAAAACATATGCATATAAGATATTTCTATATTAACTATCCAAAGCCTGAACCATGAAATAACTCCCAGAGAATACTGGTTTTTAAAAAAACGGGACTGTTTATTGACAAATTATAAAACAATAAGAAGAAATTGGCACATTTGATTTTAAATTGTATCATATTTGCTAATTCTGTCATTTTTTTTAGCAGTTAGTTTAGAAATTTTGGGTGCAGTCTATTTAGGTCTTTAGGGGGGAAAAAACACACTAATGAGGTTTCAAAAACTCAAAAAAATTCATGTATCAAATATAATACCAGTACATATTTTTCACAAAAGATTCAAGTTTGGTTTTAAAAGGGCAGGAAAGGTCTTTGACGCGTCTGTCCAAAAGATGCAGGAATGCAAAAGCTGCTTTGGAACTAGCCATCTATAG